ATTCCCAATCCTCCCAGTCCCTCCAGTACCCCCAGTTCCCCCATTCCAATTCCCATCCCCATCCCCATTCCCATTTCCATTCCCATTCCCGTTCCCATTCCCATCCCCATCCCCAATTCCAAATCCCATCCCCATCCCAATCCCATCCCCAATTCCCATTCCCATCCCAATCCCAATCCCAATCCCATTCCAATCCCATCCCGTTCCATTCCCATTCCCATCCCCGTTCCCATCCCCAATTCCTATCCCCAACCCCAATCCCAATCCCATTCCAATCCCATTCCCATCCCCATCCCCAATTCCCATCCCCAATTCCCATTCCCATCCCAATCCCAATCCCAATCCCAATCCCATCCCAATCCCATTCCCATCCCAATCCAATCCCAATCCCAATCCCATTCCCATCCCAATCCCAATCCCAATCCCAATCCCAATCCCATTCCAATCCCATCCCGTTCCATTCCCATTCCCATCCCCGTTCCCATCCTCAATTCCCATCCCCAATCCCATCCCCAATCCCAATCCCATTCCCATTCCCAATCCCATTCCAAACCCAATTCCAAACCCAATCCCAATCCCAATCCCATTCCCATTCCCATCCCAATCCCATTCCCAATCCCATCTCCAATTCCCATCCCCGTTCCCATCCCCAATTCCCAATCCCAATCCCAATCCCAATCCCAATCCCATCCCAATCCCAATCCCAATCCCATCCCAATCCCAATCCCATTCCCATTCCCATTCCCATTCCCATCCCAATCCCAATTCCCAATCCCAATCCCAATCCCAATCCCATCCCCAATCCCAATCCCAATCCCAATCCCCAATCCCAATCCCACTCCAATCCCATCCCGTCCCATTCCCATCTCCAATTCCCATCCCCGTTCCCATCCCAATCCCATCCCAATCCCACTCCCATTCCCATCCCAATCCCAATCCCAATCCCAATCCCATCCCAATCCCATCCCAATCCCAATCCCAATCCCAATCCCAATCCCAATCCCATCCCAATCCCATCCCAATCCCAATCCCAATCCCATCCCAATCCCACTCCAATCCCATCCCGTCCCATTCCCATTCCCGCTCACCTCGGGTCCCCTTGGGGCAGGGTCTCTCCACCAGCGCCCCCTGCTGGGCCGCGGGCCATTGCACCCTGCGCACCTCCCGCGCCTCGCACAGGCGCCCCCCGGGACCCCCCCCGGGACCCCCGGGACCCCCCCCGGGACCCCCCCCGGGCCCCCCCGGCCCCGCCGCCCCCCCGGGACCCCCCCCGGGCCCCGCCGGGGGTCGGCGGGAGGCGGGGGGGGGCGGCGGCGGCGCCCCCGGG